AGGTTTCTCACGGGTTTTTAAGAGAGAATTATTGGGGTGTTACACCAACCATCCTTTCTATTTTCCACCATGGGACGACCCACTTGATAGCAAAATTGCGAGATTCGAAGACCTTTCTCCACCCATGGCGCCCAATTTTAGGGAAGTGTTTCTTCCTCCTCACAAAGCAATTGGGAGTATACTTCTCAATATTGTCCGGAGGGCTAATTAATTCTAGCCTTTCCATTAGCCACATCTGTAAAAAATTGCAATGCAATTAAATTATTATTACAATACAAAAATATATATTTTTTTATTTCTGTAATTAAAAATATTATTTTTCTACCTGTAATAAAATTGGAGAGCCGCGAAAAGGTGCTTTTGGGTTCCTTTTCAATTCATCAAGACTAATCATAGTCTCTCCAACTATCAATGGCATTGGATTTCTCCCTGATTCAATTTGTTCTAGAACGGTGGTTATAATTGATTGGCCTTCATTATTTTTACCACTACTTAGAAAAAATTGATTAAGCATGCAAAATAAGAAAGCCCTTATTCTATATATATGAAAAGATTCAGAAAGAGGTTTATCAAAATAATGGCGTGCAAATTCTTTCAAATTAACTATGTTGCCATCTACTATTTTTGATAAATCCCTTTCTTTTAAATTAAAGAAGCGCTAAAAATCCTTATAATAATATGCATCTACTCTAGGGATTACTATGAGGTCTATTGCAGGGAAGCCTAAAATAGCACCAAATTCTTCTGGAAAAGGGCTAATCTCATCATACCCTATTCTAAAACAATGAGTATCAACATTCCAAAATTCTAGAGCGGTATGAATGAAGTCTAAGTCAAGATCTACCCCTTTTATGCCATATATTCCCCCCAAGTGAAACAAATCTAATTCTTTTCTTTCTCTAGCATTAAGAGATCTACACCATTCATGAGTGTATTGGGTAAAAGTTTTGGTGACTAGAGACATGGTATTATTTTCCTAAGGCAAAGAATTATTTTATTTGCTGGAATTATGAGAAGAATCGGTTAGGCAGGGGGCTATTTATACACAACTTGCGAGAAGTTTTAATCAGGATGAAATACGGAATCAGCGCCAATTGGCTTCAGACTCCGTAATTGGCGCCAGCCGCCAGCGCTTGGTGCCACACGCCAAGTGTAGCGCCTGGCGCCAAGTTGCCACGTCAGGCGCGCTTGCTTAAATCGCGTTTTTTTACCTTAAACTCGAGTCGGCTAATGACTTTACGGCTCTGATTATCTTTTCTAAACATCTTTTTATCCTTTTCTTTTATCAATTAATATAGCTATTATATTAATTATATTATTCTTTTTTGGATTTTATTTAGAATAATTTTAAAGTTTTTATACACACAAGCTTTTAGTTGATTTTTCCTTTTTTTTTATTTTTTTCTTTTTTTGGGGAGAGATTCGGATACCCTCCATCAATAATAAAATAAAATGACGGAATTTTTGCGCAAAATTGTTTTTCACACTTTTTTTTTCTTGCACACACAAACATGCACATAATAATAGCAAACATCAATATACTTGCAATAGTATGTATGTACAAAATATGTCTAAAAATGAGTTTTAACTAAAAGGCAAAGTTCTATACAAAGTCAAATAAATAATAAGCACAGGTACAAATTACCTCGCGCAATAGCTGTCAAAGAACCCATATGATGGATAGACATACAGGGTGGCACGAGCTCAGTAGCATCATCCGGACAAAGCAAAACCAAGTCAGTGGAGCATTACTTGGGGGCTACTTAACGAAAGATAAGAGCTGAAAAGGCGTACCGCCACATCCTTAGCCGGTACAGGAACTGGAGTTAATAACGGCAGTAGCTCCTCTCCATAGCATCACCCAGGGATCGCGCAAGATCACCAAGGGGGATTAGTTCCCTTTGACATACTCAACAATTTCGCGGCGCTTGGACACTCAGCCACTCGGTCGAATTGTTCTACCTTTTTTGCAATATATTTTGGGCTCCTTGGTACGCCAGTTAGCCCCTCTAAGCAATTTGACATGATTTTTAGTTATCGGTTTGATTAGGTAAAGTGATCGACCTGATGAAAGATCGTCTCACTTAGCTTAAAGCGCCTAAGCATTGGCTCATTAACAAAAAAGCACCGACATACAGGTTCAAAAGCAAAAAGGCACCGACATACTGGTTCATTTGCAAAAAGGCACTGACGTACAGGTTCAAAGCAACGGAATCGCCGACGTACAGGCATAGCAGGAGCAAAGTTTAGGCGAAATTTAAAGATCGACAGGCGGAGATATTCACTAATTTCCTTTGGAAAATTAGCATCGAATGAGGATAGCTTCGGGCGAGGAAATCTTTGGCAACATTCCCTAGCTTGTGGAGAGTTATCACAAACAACTGGAGATTGTTTCAAGAGAAATAATCTTCGATGGTATTCCCTGGCTTGTGGAATATTATCAATGCGGATGAGGATTTGTTTCAAGAGAAGCAATCTTCGATAATGTTCCCTGGCTTGTGGAATATTATCATAGCGGAGGAGGATCGTTTCAGGCGAAGCAATCTTCTAATTTGGAAGCAGTTACGGGCGTAGCGGTTTTCAAGCGGGATGGCATTCTCTAGCTTGTAGGAGGTCATCAAAACAACAGTGAAGCGGCAACAATCGGTTACTTTCAGAGACGTGTGCTCGACGGTGCAAGATACGCATTTCTTAACTCTTTTATCTGTTTAACTAACGCTAGTTTTGCAGGTATCGGCGTTGCAAGAGTGATTTAGGATCGCAGAACGTTCTGAATCATTCTCCGTCCCTATTGATACTTTGACTTTTGTTTTCGAAACTTGCGTTTCTCCAAACTCAGTCAAAGTGGGGGCTTCTGTAGACACCCATTTGTGTCTCCCCAAAACCAAACCCAGTGATGAGTACCTTTCACGTCGAATCATAATCGAATGAAGTGAAAGTGTGGAAAGTCTAGTGTTGCGGATAGTTTTAATTTCTTCTCTTCTCTCTGTTTTTGAAACTTATTTTAAGAGAAAACAGTCAATCCAGTTTGGTTGGTCCATGATATGGGTCCAATATTAGTGTAGTTGGATGGGGCTTGACAAGAGCTTTCCAACGATATATTATCAGCCCAATTCCGATGACTATTGAGGAAGTTATGGCCAATTTACCAAACTGGGCCCGTTTTGAGCCTTATGTGCGGCCCAATGATCTAGGAGAGGGCCTAATATGATTTATCATTCCTAATGCAATTAGGAATGGTTTTAGTCTTCTAGATTCTTCTAGAAGGTTCTTTTCATTCCTAATTCAATTGGCATTGATAAATTGACTTTTGTTGACTTTTCAGAGTTTTAATTAAAATCAAAAAGCATTTTCGAGGAAAAGATACGATTTTATCCTCCAGTACGGAAAACTTATCTGATTTTCGAAAATGCTTTAAAAACAGGCCTGGCGCCTGAAACCAGGCTTGGCGTCTGGCGCCAGCCATTGGCGCCTGGCGCTAGTGTTGGTGCCCAGCGCTAGTTAGCCAGGGTTGGCGCCAGCTCTATTTTACGTGCGCCAAGTGCTCTGTTTTGATATTTTATCTTTTTGGCTGATTTTCTCTATAAATAACGTATTAAAAACTCCGTTTTCATTCACCTACAATCAGTTTTCATTCGCAATCATTAATTCTCTAATTCTCTCTTAATCATTCACCAATTCTCATCAAGTTTTCTTGATTATTCATCTCTCTCTTTCCTTTTTCTAAACTTTGTTTTCAAATACAAAATTCCGCATTCATTAGATCTAGAAACACCTAGCCATATTCGAAGTTGTCTTCGCCCTAAACGTGAAAGGTTTAATTTCTGAGGGTTTGGTCCCAAATCTCTATTTCAATTATTTAATTTAATTGTTTGTTTATTATTTTCCTTGAAGTTACTAACGTGTGTATTTTGTTATTAGAAAGAGGTACGAGGCATCAAAGTAAGTGCTTTAATGGTTTTAATTGATATTATGATGTAGAAATCATGTTTATATTGTTATTATGATATTCCTAGTATCATGTTTATGGAAAAAGTTATGATATCAAGTATGCTTATTATGTTTCCTGCAATGTCTTTTATTCTCTTCCTAATATTTATGATTGTTAGTATCATGTTAGGGTTAAAGATTTGATTTTTATTGCTTAGTGACATGCTAGGGTTTGTTATTAATCTTATTAGTATCATGCCTAAGATCTTGCTATTTTTATTATGCTTTAACATGATTTATGATTATTTTAATTATAATTTATTTTTATGATCATGATTTATTATTATTTTATTTATTGTTGCTTGATTTTATATTTATTTTTATTGCTTGATCACGCCTTTATTGCATGTTTAAAGGGAATCTATACTTGTAATCACGCTTAAATAAGATAATTAATAATCTTGTTTAGGGTTAATATGATTATAATTTCAAGTGATCGCCAATAATAGATTTATTTGTGCATTAAATTCAACCAACATAGATAAACAGGTTTAGGGTTAATCCTATTGATTGCATGTTAGTCAGAAAGCGCACATGAATACGAGCAGAATAAAGTAGAGGCCTATTATTAGGGCAGATTCAATCTCTTTTTGGTTGGATTTGTACCTTCATCCCTGGACCCTTATTTGGTTCATGACCTTATGGAGTTGACGATCTCTTGGATCGTTAAGGGGTGTAACCTTCACCTCGTGAACGGTTTACAAGTTCCTTAAAAACTTGTTGGCGATTCTTTTGCTCTATCTTCTTCCCTTTTGGACGCCACCGTACTTTAGAGTATGATCATAGTGGGGTTCAAGCTAGGGGATTAACGCTTGAAATTTATTCCCCACAATACTTTACTCAATAATGTTGCTATTAATTACATAATTCTTGCATAATATGTAGCCTGCAATATCATCATGTTTACTTAGAAGTGGCTAGTGATCTTGAAGTGCTTCTGTTTAGATATTCTTTTTAATATTTCTGCCTTGGTAATTTCAACCATTGTGTTTACATTGGATGGTTTTCAGGTAACGGCAGAGCTCTTGCCGATAAATTCAAGAAAAGTGGCTGTGAAATTAGATTTTCAGAATACTGGGACTGGTAAGTAATCTTCTTTTACTACAACTTATACTTGATTGTATGATGTTAAATTAAATAAAATTGACTAGAGTGATACTTGTACGAGAAGTCCATTATCATGAGTTCTAGTTTCCATATTATTATGAATTACTTCCATTCATACTATGATAAATTTGTGCCTTTATGAATATTATTGGCGGATGTAGAATATCTAGTGTGGAGGGGCACTAAATAAAAAAAATAAATAAAATGCTTGTATAAGGGCTTGAATCTAAGACTTTTAGTCCAAAATCAATGCATTACCACTATAACAAAGCAAATTTATTGCATTAAAATTGTATTTAACCTATAAATTCACATATTTACTTCAATAAAAAAATAAAAAAATAAAAAATAAAATTTGGGGGGGGGGCGGTGCCACCCATGCCCCTTTATAGATCCGCAAATTATGATGATTAGTAGATGTACAATATTTACCATGAAATGTGTTTACATGAAATGTGTTTATAGCGCGACTTCACTTTTGTAGATACCTGTGAAGCAGGGCCGGCCCGGAGGGGTAGGCCTCGAGTGCGACCGCCTAGGGCCCACGCCAGAAAGGGGCCCAAAAATTCAAAAAAATAATTCAATTTGCATAGTTGTAGAATTTAAACTGTTTAAACTGTAGTTTTTACTCGTTAAAAAATAAGCTACTTTTAAGAAAGATAATAAATGCATTTAGTTAGCAATTAACATTAAATTGCTTATATGTCAATTAGGTAGAGATAACTATGCAATATAACCTCCTCTTCTTCTAATCTTCCGATTTTATGAGTATCTGTTTCAAAATATTAAGATTTTCAATTACACCGTTTCATATTTATTCAATTACCGAAATATTATGCAAAGTTATTACTCCAGTATTGTGTATGGAGACTTACTATTCAAATAATTTAAGTTATTTTCGTTGTCTTATATTTAAAGCTATTGCGTGTAAAAAAAAATGTTTACGTAAGGGGTCGTTTTCTTACATTATGCCTAGGGCCCATAAATTTCTAGGAACGGGGATGCTGTGAAGGCACCAGAAAGAACTCAGTATGGCTCTCTGGATATTACTTACTTGGATGAGGATCTGAGGTAAGTAATTTTTTTTTTTTTTTTTTTACTAATATGATTAGTTTTATAATCAAGTGAAATTGAAAGACCTGCTCTATTGATGGATACGTCACTCATGAAAGATGTTTTTTTTTTTTTTTTTTTGGCTTTTGCAGAGTATCTACAGGAGACAAAGGAAATTTGTTTATATTAAAAATGGTCGATCGATTGTACAAAGTCCCAAGATAATTTAATTAGTCTGAAAGGTGTATATGAAATTGTAATTTGTAAGCTGTATATGTAAATTGCCTAACACAAAGTGCAATTTCATATATATATATGATCTTCAAGACCATGAATACATCATTTTTTATTTTTATGTAGTTGAGATTAAGATCCCAAGCAGAACTGTTGAACGCTATTTCGATCAGATTACTTGGATTTATCGCTATTTACACCTTCACCTTCAGTGGCATGCGCTTATTGTAGACTATGGTTTAGATAGAATAGTTCTGATAGTCTGCGGTTGCTAATATATCTAGCCATATTATGTGTTAGATACTGTAAACTCCTTGGATTGGAGTGTATTCCATTGATTCATATAAATAGGGTTACAACGATCCTTCCTAATCTCATTAGGAAATCTCAAAAGATAATTACAAAATATTCACAAATTATATCCTTCTATACAGTATCGACAGAATAATTATCATATTCTATCACATCCCCGCAGTCATAGCGGTAGGAGGACGTACGCTGAGACTGGATCTGAATTCCAGAAATAGTTGTCGAGGTAGGCTTTTGGTGACAATGTCTGCAAACTGATAACGAGATGGAACGTGCAAGACCCGTACATGCCCCAACGCCACCTTCTCACGAACGAAATGAATGTCCATTTCAATGTGCTTGGTGCGTTGATGCTGTACGGGATTATGAGATAGATAGATTGCACTGACATTATCACAATAAACAATAGTTGCCCGCCGAAGAGGACAATGTAACTCTAAAAGAAGGTTACGTAGCCAACATGCCTTGGACACAACATTTGCGACGCCCCTGTATTCTGCCTCTGCACTTGATTTCAAAAGTGTAGGCTGACGCTTAGATGACCAGGAAATAAGATTGTCCCCTAAAAAGCAACAATAACCTGAGGTCGACCGACGGGTGTCCGGGCACCCGCCCCAATCTGCATCAGTATAAGTAATCAAGTTTGTAGAAGTAGAAGGATATAAATGTAACCCATAATCATTGGTGCCCTTAATATATCGCAGAATGCACTTCAATGCATCATAATGAGGCACTTTGGGATCATGCATGAATAAGCAAACTTGCTGAACTGCATAAGCTATTTTAGGGCGAGTAAAAGTGAGGTACTGTAACGCTCCTGCAAGACTATGATAAAGTGTTGGATCATAAAATTTAGGACCACAGTCAGCACTAAGTTTGGACTGTGTGTCCCCTGGGGTCGCTGTAGGCTTACAACTAGCCATACCTGCACGCTCTAAAATTTCTCTAGCATATTTCTGCTGTGACAGAAACAAGAACGAAGGAGTACGAGTGACAGCAATGCCTAGAAAGAAATTCAGAGGGCCCAAATCTGTCATTGGAAACCCAGTGCGCAAGTGAGAAATGATGCGTTCCCGTAGTAAATCTGAAGATGTAACCAACACAATATCGTAAACATATAGAAGCAAATATGCCATGTCTTTCCCATGTCGGAAAATGAATAAAGAGTTATCACTCTTGGCAATAACAAACCCCATCTGCAAAAGATAGCTAGCAAAACGATGATACCAGGCCCTTGGAGCCTGTTTAAGACCATATAGAACCTTACGAAGCTTGCAAACATAGCCTGAGAACCTCTTGTCAACAAACCCAGGGGTTTGATGCATGTACACACACTCATTCAAATCACCATGTAAAAAGACATTATTAACATCTAATTGATGAATAGACCACTTACGAGCCATAGCTAAACTCAAGACTGTGCGAATGGTGGCCGGCTTAACAACCGTACTGAAAGTTTCATCACAATCAACACCTTCAACCTGAGACCTGCCATCACAAACTAAACGAGCTTTGTGTCTTTCAAGATCACCATTAGCATTTAATTTATGACGAAACAACGACATGCAATTGACAATGTTCACCCCCGTAGGTCTAGGAACCAAATCCCATGTCCCCGTTTCAATTAAAGCACTATATTCATCACGCATCGCGGCATTCCAATTAGGGTCGGAAAGGGCTTGTTTGTGATTTTTTGGAAGAGGAGACCGGGTTGACACATGAGTGGGGGGAGAAACAGTGAGGCCGAATTTTGGGTTCGGTTTGACGATTCCATGTTTGGATCGAGTTTGCATTTGTGGAGAGAGGGGGGGAGGTCGAGTAGGTGTGAGAGGTAGATGACCACGGAGTGGTGGTGGCAAGTAAGTGGAGGGAGAGCGGTGTGATGGGGTGCTCGGGCTGGCAGGCTGGGTAGGCGGGGTGCCTGGGCTGGTAGGCAGGTGCTGCGGGCTGCCAGCGCTAGCTGGGCTGGTGCTCTTCCTTGGTTGAGTTACTGCCTGGCGCGCTGATTTCCCGCTGCTGCTGGGTCAGTAGGCCGAGGCTGGCTGGGGTGCAGCCTGGATGGCTGGGGTGTGCACTGCAGCGTGCTGGCCTGCTGGGTCAGGTGCGGCAGTGTGCGGCAGCTGCTCGCCAGCGAGGTCTTGTTGGGCTAAGACGCGGAGCATAGGTGAAGGATCGTCGGAGTTTAAAAATTCATAAACCGAGGCTCAAAAGTGGGTAAGATTTTTATATGGCATGGTATTTTCATCAAAAACAACATGACAGGAAATAATTATTTTTCGAGCGTTTAGGTCCAAACAACGATAACCCCTATGCTCGGTTGGGTAGCCTAGAAAGACACATGGTGCTGACCGAGGTGCAAGTTTATGAGGTATGGTTGGCGATAGGTTTGGGAAACATAGGCAACCAAAGACTCGAAGATGGGTATAGGACAGAGTAACCCCAAAAAGAGCTTGAGCCGGAGTAAGTTGATTGAGAGCTTTGGTAGGTAGAATATTAATAAGATATGAGGTCGTTTCCAAGGCATAATGCCACAGAGATGGAGGTAGGGAAGCATGAAACAAAAGTGTGCGCTTAACATTGTTAAGAGTACGAATCATGCGTTCGGCTTTGCCATTTTGTGAATATGTGTGTGGACAAGAGAAGCGAAAAACCAATCCATTATTGACACTGAATAATTTGAACGGATCATTATCAAACTCACGACCATGATCACTTTGTAAAGACTTTATGGGACGTTCAAATTGAGTTAGAACATATTGTCTAAAATTAAGAAAGGTTTGAAAAGCTTGAGACTTGTAAACAAGCGGAAAAGTCCACACATAATGAGTATAATCATCCAATAAAACAAGATAATATTTATGATCCTTTTCACTACGAATAGGAGAGGTCCACGAATCGGCATGAAAAATATCAAAAGCAGAAAAAGTAGTACTATTGGAATTATGAAAAGGCAAGCGAATGTGTTTCCCTAACTTACAACCTACACAAAAATTGGAGTCATGCTCCTTATTACAATCAATCAATTGTTTACTCCTAAGAAAATTAAAAACGGGTGCCCCGAGATGTCCTAATCAGTTGTGCCAGGTAGATGGTGCCAAGGCTGTGAGAGAGGTGGCTAGGCAGGTTGATGGTGCTGCGATTACTGGATATAGGTCCGCCGAACTATTGCATCTGGTTATTACCTTCCCCGTTTGAAGATCCTTCACAGAAAAACCACTATGATCAAACTCTATGGACACAGAATTATTAGAAGTAAATTTTCTAACAGAAATTAGATTTTTGATCATTTGTGGAGCTAAATAAACATCACATAATTTTAGGGATTTATTTGCAATAGTGGAATGACCATAACCCGTAATTGGAATGCGTTGACCGTTACCTACTTGAATATAATTATGTGTGCTTAAATTAAAAAGGGGTAAGAGATTACCGGCTTGATTTGTCATGTGTGATGTTGCACCGGAATCCATGTACCACGATGGGTCGTAGTTCTGAAAACCCATAGTGGTGAACGCATTGCCGAGCTCCGTTGGAGTCATAGCTTGACCATATTCCGAGGCCTGGGATGAGTGGTGTTGAGGTTGAGGTGGGGGCCCCGAGTAGAACACCTGATGCTGATGTGGTGGCTGGCTGGGCCGTGGTGCAGCAGCCCACTGCTGCTGTGGGTGCGGGAAAGGAGCGTAGCCCCACTGAGGGGCCTGCTGGGCTGGCTGGGATGCCCATTGTGGCGCACCCTGCTGCTGTGAGGTGCGCCTTGCTGTTGTTGGGGCTGTGGCTGCTGCTGTGGTGCACCCCGGCTACGCCCTCGGCCTTTGCCACGGCCGCATCCACCGGCACTACCACCCCTTCCCGCCGGAGTGGACTACTGTTGCGGTGTTGCTGTGGTGTTGGTGGATGCCGAGCTGCTGTTCTGGGCTAGAAAGGACTGGGCAGAGTTACTTGGATCATTAAAGCGTCTTGATTCCTCAAGGAGAAGTCTAGACCGAGTTGTTTCAAATGACAGAAGAGGCTCCGTTTGTTGAATCATTGCAACAACCGTATCAAAATCGGTTCCCAAAACTAGCCGAATCACCAATTTTTGCTCCGATACGGGTTGATCAACATTAGCAAGTTGATCCTTAATGTTCTTCAATTCACGACAATAAGAGGAAATATCAGAGAAATTGGAGAGATGCAAGCTATTGAATTGGGTTTCAAGATAAACTGCCCTTGTAGTTTTATTATCTTGAAATATGTCCTTCAACTTATCCCAAATGTGTTGTGTCGTGGCCCCTCTACTCAAGACCGTCTCAAGCAATTCAGTGGAAATAGTGCCATAAATCCAATTCTTGACAACCAAATCGAGTCTTTTCCACATATCATCGGACAAATCCGTAGGTTTAGCGGTCTTTGGATCAATATGATCAAGGACATTGTAAGCATGACAGTGACACTCAAATAACTCAACCCATATGAATAATGAACCTTCCCACGATCAAGAAGAATAGGGATGCCGTTTTTTATGTTATTTACCCCGAAAGCAGGGTGAAACGCGGAGGAGGAAGACGAATTGTCCCCATCCTTGGTCATGATTGACGGTGATGATGATTAGGGGCGGCTGGTAGGGCGTATAGGAAAGAAAAATAAAAAAGAAAATATGCGGAAGCGGAGGTTGGATCAAAACCTAAGCAGTGATACCATGTTAGATACTGTAAACTCCTTGGATTGGAGTGTATTCCATTGATTCATATAAATAGGGTTACAACGATAATTACAAAATATTCACAAAATATATCCTTCTATATAGAATATCGACAGAATAATT